AACATCTCTGTGAGGATTATCTAATCGAGCATATAACCATTCCACCATACCATCCAAGAAGACATGGGCAAGCGGAAAGATTCGTGGATACGTTCAAGAGAGCCCTGAGAAAGGCTAGTGGATCACCGACGGATAAGTCAATCCAAGAGTTCTTACAAGTTTACAGGGTCACTCCGAATGCAAACATCGAAGACACCAGCTGAGGTCATGTTCGGACGCAAGGTTAGATCAATTTTCCACAAGTTGTTACCAAACCAGGATAGGCCAAACCTCAAAAAACCAATAACAAAAAAACGGTATAAAGTTGGCGAAAGAGTTTTCTACAAGATTCATAGAAATAATAGGACCTTTTGGGAGTCCGGCACTATTGAGAAACAAATAGGCAACATGGTCTATATGATTAAGGGACCAGATTTCGTGCACAAACATCACACTAACCAAATCCGGAAAAGATATCGAACAGTGAGGTGACCAGATCGCCCGAGGAGGACATCATGGACACAGTGTTTGATACTTTTCAGGCTCCCATACCAGAGACAGCTCCTGAGAATAGGAGGTCAGAAAGAAAACGGAAATCAACAAAGTTGATTAGGGTGAACCCAAAACAAAAACGGTATTAATTCCCAGACGGGATATTTTCAAAGGGGGGTGTTGCACCGGCCTCTAACACAAGGGAATTACACCGGTTCTCACTATATATAGTGCCAGTAATACCTACCCGGGGTAAGCAGCGACAATACTACAACTGTCTAGCTGAGTAGTACCAGTTTCCTACCTTTGTATCTGTGATGTCAAATACACTTGTTCTTTAAACCAACTTCGACTTGATTTTCTTATTTTTACTATTGTGCCACGACACAACAGTTAATGTAATAAAATGGCTAATCCAAGAACATTTCTGCCAGAAAATCAGTCTATATATATATATATATATCTCCCCTATGAAAGGATGGCCCTAGTCATAACCAGAGTTTTATGCTCACACAATCTTCAGACAACTTGAACGTAAATGAAAAGAAAGAAGAGACATGATTTATAACCCATGACCATAAATCTAAAAGCACCAGGAAAAAATAAAACAAAATAATTCTATTTAAAAAAAAAAAAAAAAAAAAAAATCCCCATGGATAACCACACATTCACAGGGGGAAAAGAAAATAGACAAAGAAAAAGCCCCTGTGGGTGGGTTAAACTTCTAATGGCGTACTATAAGGTCAGGTTCAGTGGAAAAATTCATAGGGTCAAGTTTAATGGATAGTCAATATAAAATAAACCCTGGGGAAAAAAAAAAAAAAAAAAAAAAAAAAATATGACGACCGATCAGTGAGCTAAACTACTAATTCAGCGAGTGGAGAGAGGGATGAAAAACACACAAATAAACCAATAATGTTTCCTAACACAAATTTGCATATTTTTTCTTCAAAAATCACTGTAATAAAAATAAAAAAAATAAAATTTGCATACACAAGTGTGTGTGTGTGTATATATATATATATATATATATATATATATATATATATATATATAGTGGCAGACAGAGTTGAAAATTTCTACAGGGATAACTTGTAAAATGGCCCAGTCAGGTGCAGTAGAGTAATGGATAGCAGCTTGGATTGAGGAATCAGAGAGCCAAGTTCTAATTCCAGTTGAATCCATTACATTCACTTATGCGCTAATACCCTTGGGAAAAGTATGAATCCTCTTCTCCCCACCCCAGTAAAGGTAAATAGCAGGACAGACCGGTTTCTATAGCCTTGGATGGCAACTGGTCTACTGCAGAAAGAAATGGCAACATACTGTGAGAAAAAAATCTGCCTCGTCAGTCATGTATTGCCTAAGAATGTATGGCACATAACTGACTGAATACCAAAATGTAGTCAAATGAATCAAATAAAATGAAAGGCCTAAGGCAAATAAAATGTGACATCGATTCAATATTGTTTTATTTATTGATTTATGCCAAATAAATATCTTAAATCTTAACCAAAGCAAAATTTAAAAAATATCCTTAAAAGTGAAAAAAAAAAAAAAAATAAGATAAAATAAAATAAAATTTCATCCAACAAGAACTAAGGATATATTTTTTCTACCAAAAGTAATTAGAGCATCAAAGAAGCCTTATTTAAATCTTCCCAGCATCTATGCAATATTTTTCTTTTTTTCAGTTATTTCTAAAGTGATGGACCATCCACCACCGTGTGTGTATGCATATATATATATATATATATATATGCATATATATATATATATATATATATATATATATATATATATAAAAAATTGTTTTTCTCAGTGCATGTACTGTCCTGGACCATGATGCCAAAGTTTGGTTTCATTATTAGCATGGAACCTCCACAAATTGCTTTTCAATAAACTGAGTTCTAAAGTATACCATTTAGATATTTACATCTGGAAGTTTTTTTAATCACTTGGGAAGTAAATATTTTTGTGCAAAATCATATCTGTAAAATATTTTGTCATCCACATCAGGACAACCATTGACCTCACTAACTTCAACATCTACAAACTGTCTGAATTATTATCCCATACAGTGTTTGATAAAAGAAAATCTAGGACAAAGATTTTTCTTAAAGAATCAGTTGATCCCAAGTAACATCAGGTTACTTTGTTGATATATGAGAAATAAAAAAAGGATAAATTATTCCACACACAAACACACACAATTAAAAAAAAATCCAAATAATTTTCATTTTCTAACTGATATTTTGATATTGGAATACCAGCATGAAAAATATACATCATCAAAATGGTTTAAAAAATAAGATTTTAGTAAACACACCTTATTTTTAATACATTATTTACATTATTCGGACTATTGTCCTCATCTTTGTCGCCATATTTATTACAACGTTTCGGCCATTGTACACTCCGGCCTTCTTCAGGTGGTTGGAATGTTGAACTGAACCCTTTATTTTGCTCACTGGGATAGACTGTTCTAGTTCCACGTGCCATGTTTGATGGATGTCAGTTATCAGTTATCTCTTGTTAATTTCCCTCTGAAAGTTCTCCACTGCCTTAACCGAGTATTGAACTCAGGAACTAGAACAGTCTACATAAATGAGCGAAATAAAGGGTTCAGTTTGACATTCCAACGCCCTGAAGAAAGCCTGAGTGTACAACGGCCGAAACGTTATAATAAATATGGCGACAAAGATGAGGACAATAGTCCGAATAATGTAAATAATGTACATAATACCTCATCTCAGAAATATAGACAGATACTGAAGGGCCGAAACGTTGTAATAAATATGGCGACAAAGATGAGGACAATAGTCCAAATAATGTAAATAATGTACATAATACCTCATCTCAGAAATATAGACAGATACTGAAGGGCGAAACGTTGTAATAAATATGGCGACAAAGATGAGGACAATAGTCCAAATAATGTAAATAATGTACATAATACCTCATCTCAGAAATATAGACAGATACTGAAGGGCGAAACGTTGTAATAAATATGGCGACAAAGATGAGGACAATAGTCCAAATAATGTAAATAATGTACATAATACCTCATCTCAGAAATATAGACCAGATACTGAAGGGCCAAACGTTGTAATAAATATGGCGACAAAGATGAGGGACAATAGTCCAAATAATGTAAATAATGTACATAATACCTCATCTCAGAAATATAGACAGATACTGAAGGGCCGAAACGTTGTAATAAATATGGCGACAAAGATGAGGACAATAGTCCAAATAATGTAAATAATGTACATAATACCTCATCTCAGAAATATAGACAGATACTGAAGGGCCGAAACGTTGTAATAAATATGGCGACAAAGATGAGGACAATAGTCCAAATAATGTAAATAATGTACATAATACCTCATCTCAGAAATATAGACAGATACTGAAAGGCCGAAACGTTATAATAAATATGGCGACAAAGATGAGGACAATAGTCCAAATAATGTAAATAATGTACATAATACCTCATCTCAGAAATATAGACAGATACTGAAAGGCCGAAACGTTATAATAAATATGGCGACAAAGATGAGGACAATAGTCCAAATAATGTAAATAATGTACATAATACCTCATCTCAGAAATATAGACAGATACTGAAGAGCCGATACATTGTAATAAATATGGCGACAAAGATGAGGACAATAGTCCAAATAATGTAAATAATGTACATAATACCTCATCTCAGAAATATAGACAGATACTGAAGAGCCGATACATTGTAATAAATATGGCGACAAAGATGAGGACAATAGTCCAAATAATGTAAATAATGTACATAATACCTCATCTCAGAAATATAGACAGATACTGAAAGGCCGATACATTGTAATAAATATGGCGACAAAGATGAGGACAATAGTCCAAATAATGTAAATAATGTACATAATACCTCATTTAAGAAATAAAGACAGATACTGAAGGGCCGAAACGTTGTAATAAATATGGCAACAAAGATGAGGACAATAGTCTGAATAATGTAAATAATGTACATAATACCTCATCTCAGAAATATAGACAGATACTGAAGGGCTGAAACGTTGTAATAAATATGGCGACAAAGATGAGGACAATAGTCCAAATAATGTAAATAATGTACATAATACCTCATTTAAGAAATAAAGACAGATACTGAAGGGCCGAAACGTTGTAATAAATATGGCGACAAAGATGAGGACAATAGTCCAAATAAAGACACACTTATTTTTAATGTTTATATAAGGGTGGTTCTCTTTATCATTCCAAAAGTATATCTTTAAACAAAAAGAACAACAATCCTATTTTTAGTTATATATCCAAATAAAAATAACACCCATTTTCCTTTATGACTTTTGAAGTAGGCTGTAGAATGGATGAGCCAAAAGAGAGAGATGTTCAATTGTCTGAACAAAGCTTAGAATATTGATAATTATTTTTAAAGTTATCAGCAATATCTAAAGAGCGAAACAAATTCTTTCAAGTTAAACATTGGGTCTTGGAAAGTAAAAGAAATGACTCACATGTAGGCATTGGCGCCATTCTCCAAGAGTGTATTAATCATCAGTTCATGCCCATACCTGGCTGCAATATGCAAGGGAGTATTTCCATATTTATCACAGGCATCAATTTCACTTCCTGTTGGTAAGAGAAAAAATAATTTAGAAATTAAGTAATAAAATAGGATAATTAAGCAATGCTTACAATATTAGTCAACTACATTGCAAATCAATGAAATGTGTAAAATGTGTGCGTGTGTGTGTGTATTGATTGGCTCTTATCAAAGTGACAAAAATTGTGACTTCTTTCCCTTTGTACAGAGTTCTGCTTTTCTGTGGTTTCAGTCAGCTGTGGTTAATTCCAGAAAAAAAAATGTGCTTAATAATGGTTTCAGAATGCAAGAGGAGCAATGCTGGCAAATAGGTGTGAAGTTTAACTGTGCTTGCTAAGATATACAGTAAGATTTTTTATAGGTTATCAACCCTGTGGGTTATTTAAAGACAAAGCTTATTTTAGATTGTAAGAATTTTTTTTGCGAGTGACTATTGCATTAACAATTTTTTAAGAATAACAATGAGTTTTCCTGATACAAGTCCTATTTAACTCATAGCTGGGAGGGGGAGATGGATTTATACCTTTCCCAACATAAACAGTATGAATAAATCTGTCTCATAACTTGGTATAGTTAGTTCTTTTATTATTTATGTCTAATCTCTTGGGACAAATTTACAGATTAAACTATATATATATATATATATATATATATATAATTATTTATTCAAAAATTATAACCTAAATATGTTATAAACTCACTACAAAAATAGCCATTTTGTTTCAACACCTCTGGTGTCTTATCAAGATGATGATGTATATATATATATATATATATATATATATATATATATATATATATATATATATATATATATATGTGTGTGTAATTATATATATACATATTTAGGTTATAATTTTGAATAAATAATTATATTTGCTCTACTCTGTATTGAGCACTCTTAAGAATAGTAATTGTTGGTTATTGGAATTTATTCCATATACACCAATCCTATACTTGTGTGTGTGTGTGTGTGCATTTGGGAAGCAATCCATCTTTTATACAAGTTTTGCTAAAATACAACTGACAAAGTACTGCAATTATGCTTTTTATTTCATTTTTCTTGTGTTCATACAAGTTTTCTTTTCTGAACACAAAATGCGTAAAAACTGTCCAAAAGTTCTGCATATCCAAGCATTTTACAGCTATGTTTTTAAGCCATAATCAAGGGCAATTTTTTTTTTTTTTTTTAACTGAATCTGTGTTTTTTTTTTTTTTATGTATGTGTCTAAATTTATATGAAAGTTTTACTTTCCGAACATGCTCGGCACATTGTAGCCATGTTCATAGTTAATAATATTGAGTGTTTGCTTTTTCTTTTTTTATTATTAGGGCTCCCATTATTTTTAATCTTTTTTACATGTGGATAAGGCTATTATGCATGTATTTTCTACTAGTATGTTTCAGATGGAATCTGGTAGGTTTTTGTGTGTGTTTAAATGAGCCCTAATTAAGCTATGGCTGAGTAGGTGCAATGTGAGTTGTCTAGATAGGCATTTAATAGTATGACCAATGTAATTATTTATGAGTTTGGTTTGATCAGGAACACAGTGCTGTCAGAGGAATTTGAACTTGTAAATAATGTTGCTTCTTTGTAGTTTGGATTTTGCAGGCGTGTGGTTATTTTTGATGAGACGGTTAGCCATTCTAAATTTTTTGCAATAGATTTATTGGGGTTGTGTATTCCTTTATGATATTTCTAAGAGAAAATTCATCTTTCTTACATTTAACATGTATTTGGCTTTTGTAGAAAATGTCATTGTTTTTATCTGAATGTTCAGTATCACTATTAGTTACTTTAGAAAGAAATAGTCTAATCTGGTGGTCAATGAGGTAGTTAGGGAAACTATTGTTAACTAGCATCTGTTTTACATATCGAGTTCTTTAAGGAAAAGGGGACAAGAAGATGAATTCTTGTGTACTCTATTCTGGAAATTTTTTATAACTGCTATTTTATATCTAAGTGGGCATTTACTCTTAAAATTGTGTCCAGAAAAGAAAACACTTGTATGAGCACAAGAAAAATTATATAAAACTAGCAGTAGAGCTCGGCGATACTTTCCAGGGATGTAAATAGTAAGAGATAAATCAAGTATCAACCATCATAAAGACTGAAAAATAAAATTGACAAAGATTATTGTTTAAGGTTAATGGACACGCATGTCTTAATTAGTTTTTTTTTTTAACGAATTGGTCAAACCCAAACATTGTTTTCAATTGTTATGAGTCTACCGATTGAATAGAATTTTTTATTATAAACAATTGTCTTGTAAATGGAATTTTTAAAGCATTCTGAATGTAAAAATAAAGAAAAAAGTGTGCAAGACAATAAGAAACACTACCTGCCAAAAAAAAAAAAAAAAAAAAAAGTGAAGTCTTGTTGAAATCGGTTGAAAAATGTAGGCAATCCGATCCCATATATAAATGAACACACACACAAACAACCTGGGTTTTATAATAAGTATAACTCAATATGAGTTACCCCCCCCTTTCATTTTCGCGATGCCTCTTAATTGTGTTTTCAAATTGATTTCGTGCAAAAAAACAATTGTGTTTTTCCAATTTTTGGCACTGTCAGAACCACCGCAAGGTAATTTTATGTAGTCCTGTGAAGTTTTGTTGAAATCGGTTGAAAAATGTAGGAAATCCGATCCAATATATAAATGTACAGACAGACAGACACACACACACACACACACACACACACACACAACCTGGGTTTTATAATAAGTATGATGTTTAATTGCAATACATTGTCAGGTTTGGCTTGGTTTGTTTTACAGCACATCAGCCTCTATGGGTTATTTAATGCAGACAAAATTTTTGTTGTTGGTAATATTTTTTCCCAAATATCTATTTCTGGTAATAATTTTCCTTCACTGGTAATATTTGTTTTTCAAAAATGTATAGCTGGTATTTTTTTTGTTTTTTTTTTAACACAGTATTTCTGGTATTAAAACCTATTTTTACACTTACATTTTTGATATTTCATAAGTACAATGCAATTCTAAAATTGTTATCAATTTATTTGTGAGCATGAAATAACTGAAAACAAAAATAAATCAGGTTTTATTTATCAAGTTCAAAATATTTACATTACATAATCAGAAGTGTCTAATGAATAAAAATAAACAAATTGCTAATGTCCATGTAGTGGACTCCCTCAGTGACAAAGAAAAGTGTTATAGATATGGCCAACTAACTGCAAGTTGGGGACCAGTGAGGATTGAACTCACAGCAATAGTAATGGGAACACCAGCAATTAAGAGGTGGTTCCATGCTCCTCAAAACCTCCTGATTAGAGGCCTTGCTGTTGGACATAGTTTATCATCTTACCCAGGACGTAGATGTAGTTTATCATCTTACCCAGGACGGGTACATTATCAGCCGTCTTTAACAAAACGTGTGTGTGTGTGTGTGTGTGTGTGAGAGAGAGAGACACCTACTTATATATAAAATCTATAATTTAGTATATGTCAAGGAGAACAGAATTTGTCAACATAGTGGTCAATCACTACCTACAGCAATAATTATTGTATCAAAAATATTAAAAAAAAAAGAAAAGAAAAAAAAGATAATATTTATCAAAGCTGAAGACATTTTTGATACAATACACACAGGCAGACACCATGCTGAAAGAGCATTAATCAAATAGGAGGCATTCCTTCACATCATCTGACATGTGACGAGAGTAGAAAAGTTTGCAAAAGTCACTGTGGCCTGATAAGGCACCTGAAGGTACACAGGACTTTTGTTGCCACAAAAAAATCAACACAGCCAGATAAGAATTTTTGCAAAGTCTGGTTCCAAAAGTCACTGCTTATCTTAAAATCAACAATGACAAATTAAAAAAACTGGTGAGGGTCATGCTCACTTAACAAGTCACCAGCCATAAACTAATAAATATACATTTTCTTCCTCACCATTACAACTATAAGTTTCATGCACATGGTAATTGTCAATCACCAATTGAAAACTGACCGTTGTAAAGTTTAAATATTTACAACCGACTGTTAAATTAAGAAGCAATCCATATCCTGATGAAAACAAAAATGTGTGTGTGTGTGTGTGTGACTATATAAAAATGAATTACAAAAAATACAGATTAAAAAAAAACAATTACAAACATTGCCACACAACAAATGTAAACAATATATTTGCAACACACAAACACATAAAGTTCAAAATATTTTTTAAAAATGCATATATATATATATATATATACACACACAATTGTGTGCGTGTAACACTCAATATATCATTTTTTTATGTAAATTATATATATAGTTCATATACATCCACACCTTTATACAAATATAAAAACATTTACAAAATTACCTATTATAAATTAATATACATAAACATACAAACAGAAATAAACTATACATATAAATCAGTGCATTAGCATTATATATATATATATATATATATATATACACATACATACATATACACACACACGTTAGACTCCACTATCTTATTTGCCAGTAATATGTAGAGAAAGCTGTATTATTTTTGTACTTTTTATTACTTGTGCTTAGTTTGCAAATGTAAAATTTTTGCTTTCACTTTATTTCAAATGAGCCAATATAGTATTTCTGCATGGTTTTCATACTAGCACTATACAATAAATAATAATAATATCAATCAAACAACAGCCATTCCAGGGACATTTATAATTTGGCAGTTACATTTTTTCTTTTCTGATTTCCTTGTTATTTTTGCAGTTGATATAATTATTTAATTATGATGGAATATAGATCTTTCTATATTTCTCATGCAGCCAATCTTTCTTATTTTTGTTAAATATTTCTTTAATGTTGGTGACCTTGATTTTGAAACACCTATCAATTCATTTTAAGATGATCCTACCAACATTTATTTTCATGTTGTAACTATTGGGTGGGGGTACACCATAACATGTTGCAATGGTTTTTGTTGTTGTTTTTTTT